ACAACTTCACTCGGCAACCTTTACCTGGTCAAGGTTTCAATTTAGACAGTCCCCTTAACATTACCCTGAGGAAATGGATGGGTTATAACAACAACAACAACAACAACAGCAACAGCAACAACAACAACAACCATCTTCTTTGCCACACGAAAGATGGCAAGTGCCACGTAATGACCTAGACCAGGATTAGCCAAGTGCAAACTTATTCTTCCCTTTAAGTCTCACCACCTCTTCTTGACTGGCTTTGGTACTTTCTCACACATCTCCTCAGTCCCTCTGTTCATCAATCAGCAACCTCCTTGGAGCTAATTCTCATACCTGGGCTCTCCTTCTCTCGCAGCTCTTAAACACCAGACTCTTGCTTTTGAAGACGTGCGAGTCGCCTTCTCTTGTCCTGCCACGCAGTAAGTCAGACCTTTGGGCCCTCTAGCTCAGTGTTGTCTACACTGACTAGCAGTGGCTCTCCAGAGTTTCAGACAGAGGTCTTTTACATTCATGTATTAGACTGGGGTGGGACGCGGGTGGCCTAGGACTTGCCGATCAGAAGGTCAGCGGTTCGAATCCCTGCGACGGGGTGAGCTCCCGTTGCTCGGTCCCTGCTCCTGCCAACTAGCAGTTCGAAAGCACGTCAAAGTGCAAGTAGATAAATAGGTACCGCTCTGGCGGGAAGGTAAACAGCGTTTCTGTGCGCTGCTCTGGTTCGCCAGAAGCGGCTTAGTCATGCTGGCCACATGACCCGGAAGCTGTACGCTGGCTCCCTTGGCCAATAAAGCGAGATGAGCGCCGCAACCCCAGAGTCGGCCACGACTGGACCTAATGGTCAGGGGTCCCTTTACCTTTTATTAGACTGGGAGCAACACAAAATTGGTGTTTTTACACAGTCACAAAGGTAAAGATAGTAGGAGGGGTGCTGAGAAGCGTAAAGTGGCAGTTTCAAACCAGGTTTGAGTACAGTCAGAAGGGAGCTTAGAAAAGCTCAGCTGTGTTAGCTTTTGTATGGTACCCATCTGTGCTATTTCTTCTTGTTAGAGTTGGCTTAAAAACCCCCTAACCTCTCAGCATTCATCCATCCCTGCTTTACTCTAACTTCTGTTCTTTAAAACCTCCACATTGTTCTTCTCAGTGTCTCTCCAATGCTACTTTGCTCAAAATTATTCCATTGTTTTAAATCACAATTTTTCTCTTTGGTGGAAAAACTGTCGCACTTTCCCCCCACCAAGGCCGTCCCTTCCTCCCAAAAGTCATTTACCACAGACATACGTTTCCCTCCTGCTTCTACCTGTTCCCTCCTCCTTTCTCTTTAGACCTTGGGAAACAGACAGTGAAAAGAGGATGATGACACAGTAGTGCAGATATAGTACAGAGAGAGAGCAAACAGTCTCTTCAACAACAGATTCCAGCCCATGCTGGCAAATTCCAACACACACAACCCAAGCACCAATCAGTCACAGAAGAGGGAAATGGGGGGGGAGCAAGGGGGGGGGAGAGAGCTCTTCATTCGTCTCTCTCCTCCCCACCTCCTCTTCCATCCACTATTGCTGCCTTGTGAGCACCATCCATCATGCACAAATATTCTAGTATCACTCATTTCTCCCTCACTCTGTCAATTGGTCTCCTTGTCTCTCTCTCCCCCCCTCTAGGCTGACACAAGCAGTATTCATCACAAGCCTAGAAATGTACAGTGTTTAGGTCTGACAGCCAATTAAATATATTTTAGCTGATTAATTGTCTGTCTTCCAGCTGATCAAATCCATTTGCATATTCCCAAAAGCTTAAAGTGTTTCTTAAATATGATATGTTTGTTTTTCCTGGTTAACGCAGGAGCACAACAACCAACAACGCAAAAGAGGAACAATCTCTGTAGTTGCCTTGCCATATAAGACTGTCTGCCACTTCTTGTCTTGTTCCTATTTTACAGTACAGAGTCCTTCCAGACCAGCCTTTGCCAACCTGGGATCCTCCAGACATTTAGGTCCCTTCAGCCCCAGCAAGCCTGGATGCGAGTGGGTGTCCAAAATATAAGGAGGGCACCAAGTGGGCAAAGGGTCTCCAGACAGTGGCTCAGGCAGCTGCTCTCCTTTCTGTTGACATATGTAAGAAAACATCTGTAGCCATGGTCCTCTTATTTATTTATTCATCACCTTCCACATATGTCCCAAGGCAATGTACAAAATGTAATAAAAACCACCACAAAACAGTCACCAAACAGCACAAAATGCATCTGGACAGGGCTGTTGTTCCGCAGAGCAGGGGCAGCCACACTAAAAGCCCTGCTCCAAGTTGCTGCAGAGTGGGCTCCAGAGATCTTTGGAACTCAAAGGAGAAACTCTCCTGCAGCATGCAAGGATCTATTGAGTATATAAGGGATAAGGTTTCTCGCTTACACTACTATCCAAACCCTATTGTTCATTCTTAAAAATAAAGACCATGGCGAATAATTCATCTCCCCTGTTCCTTATTACAGAAGCACACCAGAGCCAAAATAGGCTAATAAATAGTACCTTTAACGTGCAAACTGAAATTGCCAATCATGGATCAGCTGAAGTTTCAGTTAATTGCTGGGGGAAAGCCTCCAGGCCACCCTGCAACATCCAAAGTGACTTTCTCAAGACTTCCAGATAAACAGTCTGGTATGTCTGAATTGCACCCAGTCCAGAGCAAGGGCCTCCAGCCTATCCTTCATCAGTAGCCATCTTCTCATTCTGTCTGAAAGTGGCCAAGTTTGTGATACCAGCAGTAGCAGTAAGTTGGGTTTGATGCAAGATCTCACCTTCTTTGCATTATGGAACCAGTGCTGCAAGTGTCAACACCCCCAAATAGCTGAAGGGGTGCTTCATTTCACACAGACGGACAGTGGAGGCCCTCTTAGCAGCACCTCTGCCCTGTGAAGCTCAAGAGACTGTGGTGTGTGACACACCCTATGGAGGCCACCCTCCACACCCACACACCCACCCCAGACTGCAGAATGCCTTCCCCTCCAAAGGGTGTGAGGCTCAGCCATCGTAAATCTTCCACCAATGAGTCAAGGTGGGGAGCTTTTGAGGTGGAAGGAAATGCCCCTCCCCATCTGTAGAGCTGTTACTACTTCAGATAAGTGTTTAAATATGTTGCTTTGATGCATTATATTCATTCTGTATGGAGCCCACCATTGGACCATAAAGTGGACAGGTTAGAAAGACTCCATTAAAAACACACCAACCTGGCACCCTCAAGATGTTGCAGGACTACAACTTCCATCAGTCCCCAGAAGCACAGGCAATGTGGTGAACTGGAGTCCAAAATGTCTGAAGGGCACCAGGTTGGGGAAAGTTGGTCAATGCAAATTAAGAAGTGCATGGTGAGGGGATTGAGAGAAGATAAATAAGGTGGCAAATACAAGTACTGTATTCTTAGGCTTTAAATGCTGACTTTTGCTTTCTCCTAAATGTATTCTCCGGTTTCCTAAAGCACGATTGATACGTTAAGGACATCAGGCACACACTGTCTAGGGCTGCAATACGTCTGAAAAATTCCAGACATGTACAGAAATTGGACACCTAAAATGGCAACTGGGGGTAATATTTGAATTTTAATAGATGTCTGGAATTTCCCGCACGTATGGCAACCCAGGTTTTTCTTAGGTTTTCTGGGTTTGTGTGTGTGTGTGTGTGTGTGTGTGTGTGTGCCACCGAGCCTTTCTGTCACCGAGCCTTCAGTCACGTCAGCTTCCCTTTTGGCCCCGTCCTCCCCCTCCTGGAGCATCTGCTTGGCCCACCGCTTTGGCCCTGCCCTTTGGAGGGAAGAGAGAGCGGGGGACGCATGCAGACATGTGCAAAGCGAAGCGCTTGGCGGGGAGGGCCTGCGCCAGGCATGGGGCGCCCCCCCTCTCTCTGGGCTCCTGGGGTGGGCGGCGAGGGGATGGTCTCCCCTCCTTGAGGGCCTCTTCGGTCCTTCTCCCCCGGAGGTCTCCAGGTCTCCTCCCCACCTTCACACCCCCTGCCGGCCTCTGGTGTTGCTGCTCCAGCGCAGCTTTTGCGCTCCGTCCCTTGCGCGAGACCGAGGCTGTATTCTGCTGCCATTCTGGGCTGCCTCATAGAAGCAGCAGGAGGGAGTCACCACCTTCTCACCCGCAGCTTCTTCCTCCCTGCCCAGCAGCTCTCAGTCCTGCTCCCCTGCGCACAGGCCCCTCTCCAGGTATTCTGAACATGATGGCATGGCCTTGACCCCACTTCTAGACCTTCTCAACAACTTTGGGGGTGTCAGGAATGTTACTTTTTGAAATGTGACAAGTCTACATACCGTCAAATAGTCCTCCCCAAACCAGATGCCATCACCCTTTTACCTCCTTTCCATCAGTACAAAGAAATCAGATGAGCAGAACCTTCAACGCACCCAGACCTCCAAGTCCTCATCAAAGCGGCCAGTTGTGGAGGAAGAGGAGACCAGAAGGATAGGTTGCAGCAACTGGGACTTCTTATGTTTAGTGAAAAGAACAGTCCATTTAAAGTTAATGGACTATGCAGAGATGGTAAAGTTGACAGCAAAACTAAGAGATCAAAAAGATGAGAACTTTGTTGAAAAGTGGAGGTTCTTTTCAGACTATTTGAGAAAAAAACTACTGTCAAATGAAATCGCATAAAGGAAGGAGGTAACAGGCACAGGAAGGAGAATAAATAAATGACTATAATGTAAGTTATAATACAACAGAAAATAAATGGTAGTTATAGCAGCTGATAAAGGAATACAACAGGAACATCACAGATGTAACGATGGGAAGTCAAAATGTAAGAAATTATTATACTGAAAGTGAATTGAATAATGTCAAATTTGGTGTAAAAAACTAATAATTTTTTTAAAATAAAATAAATAATAAAATTCATTTTAAAAAATCTTAATAGGTGTGAATAGCAGTCTGAGGGTCTCACAGAATGGTTTCAGTTCTGAGAAGAAAACAGCTCACAGAGGAAGGGAGTCAAAGCAAGGGCTCAGTGCCAGTTATGGCAGCAACTTGAGGTACTTGCCTTGTCATAATGCAGCAGTTTCTGGGATCTGAACTCCAGAGAGTCGGGGATGCCTCCTGAATGAACAAACAGTCCTCCTGCCAAGATGTGCCAAAATGCCAGTGCAGAAGTTGAACTCGCTTGCACTGACAATCAGCCTGAGCAAGGCGACCTGCAGCAAAGAGGGTCTGGGGTGGGAGTCAGAGAGACAGAGAGAGATGGAAAGGTCCAGGGGGCTTCCTCAGCCCATCAGACTGAGCCATTCTGCTCTGCAGCCCGGCACATGACCCACCAAGGCTTGACCCGGCAGCCGTGCTTGGTGCTCTTCTGGGTGTTTGCCAACCTCCTGCTTTTGAAATCCCAGGCAGGCAGCAAAAGCAGGATCATTAAACTGAGAATTGCGAGGAGAAGGGCATCCTCAGGACCCAGCAAAGTCAGGCCCACCAGCTGGTTTCACAATCTGCGGGGGGGGGGAGGCCACTGAAGACTTTCCCACCGGACAAGGGGTGTAGTATCTGAGCAAGCTTAGGATCCCCTCGTCCTCTCTGTTATCTTCATTCCAGTGCCTAAGCTGCACCTCACAGCTTGCAGTATTTGCCAAATAAATAAATAATTCACATGCTCCTAAACTATGAAGGATTACGCTAATTAGAATAAACTGGGAAGACATGAGAGAAAGAGGAATGGGCTGGTGATATTTTGTCAGCTTAACACCAAACTAATTTATGCTTTAGGGGAAATATTTGAGATTTCTAATTAAAAATCTCGACAAAGCCTGTTTTGGAGAGGGGGCCTCTCATCACTTACATTCAAGGACATTAAAAGCTGCTGCCGCCGTTTTCTTGCCTTCTTCGCCAAGCCTTTCATCACCAAGTTCTCTCTTTGATTTTTTTCTTCTTCAAAAGGAAGAGTTGAATAACTCTGGATACCAAACACTGGCGGAGGAAGGGGGTGTGGCAGCGCCCCCCCCCCCCGGGGATGCTCCCTCCGGCTCTCCCCTCCCCCACCCCGGGTGCACAGCATGTGCGCCCCTCCGGGTGCCGGACCAGCTGGCTCTGCCTCCGATACCAAAGAAGCTTGATTCATATGCATCTACTGACTATTTCATTTCCCCCACATTTTAAGCTTTAAGATCCCAGGTGCTGAACAGAAACCAAGCACAACGACTTCTGAACAGCTTTCCTGATTCTCTGGCTAGTGTCTATACACAATGCTACAAATATGAATTTATTCTGCTTAAGACTGCAGCAAAATCTCCTTTCCGATGTCCCATTCATAAACAAAAAACCCATTTTGTATTTTTTGGGTGGTGAGGAAGAGGAATCAATTTCATTTTTGAATAGTCTCCAGCAGTAGTTGCACTCTGAGTAATCCCACTGAAATAAAGGGGCTTAAGTCCATCATTTACAATAAGCTTCCTCAGAACCGTAATCTACTTTAATTTCACCCTTATAATTCAAACAAGCTATGGTCTCCCCATGTTCAGAGCATCACTGGGCACTGTGGAAGCCCAAAGTCTGGGAACCCAGAGCACATGCAAAGGACAATCGTACTTTCCAATTGCATCTGAACAGGGCCATAATTTGGATCTGCCTTCCCCAACCTGGTGCCCTCCAGATCTTATTGAGGTGAAAGTTTCTATCTTCCCTGAACAATGGCCATGCTAGCTGATGAGAGTGGTAATCCAAAACATCTGGAAGACACCAGGTTGTGGAATGCTAGCTTAGATTTTAAGTTTGTTTGTTTTTTAAATGGCTTATCCCCATTAATCCTTGGGAATTTCAGTACATTAGAAACCAACTGTTCCACTTTCAGCCAGAGAGCCAAACGACACCCCCCCCCCAGCTGCCTTGAGGTCTTTCGCCTGGCAACAATGAAACCCGAGGCCTTTCCTATCCATCGCCCTCCTTGATTAAGAGATGGGGCCTGAACTAGACACAAAGTCTCCCCACCACACACACAAATATGGAAATGGTTCAACTACGACTTGGTAGCTGTCCTACACCTTACACTAGAGTTGCCTAATGTTTGGCCCTCCAGATCAGGGGTGGACCTTGGCAATATGGCACCCTGCGCAAAACCAAAATTTAATGACCCACTCCCCACCAGCCTCCCTGCCTCCTTCCTAAAGCTGGGTAAGAGAGGCACTGGGCAAGCACTAAGTAGGGTTTGGGAAGGAGGCAGGAGGACTCTAGGAGCCTGTCAAAGCCTCAGGGTTCCTTCCCAGAACAGGGCAAGGCACCCTCCCCCTTGGGGCTGCACCCAGTGCAAGGAAACCAGCCATGCTGTCCTAAATCCAACATCATCTGGGTGGACACAGGTTACCCAACCCTGCCATAGTCACTTCAGAATTTAAAACTTGTTTTCCAAAGTGTCCAGCCCCTTATGGTTGTGGAGATGCACTCTGAAGGAGATAGACAATGCCTACTGAAATTGTGTACTGCAGGCTGGGGACTTCGTAAGATCCTCAATAGTTAGAGATGAGGCTTTGGTGACTTGTTCAGTTCCTTGACCCCATTCCACTAGCAAAAACAGAACTTATGCAAAATAGAAACAGACACGCATGAGAGATGGAGAGAGAGAGAGAGATTGTCATAGAATATGGTTTGCCAAAAAATAAGAAGTGGAATACAGTGGTACCTCGGGTTACATACGCTTCAGGTTACATACGCTTCAGGTTACAGACTCCGCTACCCCAGAAATAGTCCCTCGGGTTAAGAACTTTGCTTCAGGTTGAGAACAGAAATTGTGCAGCAGCAGGAGGCCCCATTAGCTAAAGTGGTGCTTCAGGTTAAGAACAGTTTCAGGTTAAGAACGGACCTCCCGAACGAATTAAGTACTTAACCCGAGGTACCACTGTACACAAAGTCCTGTTTATGACTTTCCTTTCGTTTTTTATTTCCACCACTGATGCCTATCCCTGACCTAGAGACAGAATTCCCAGTTAAAACAGTCAGCCAGCTGCCAAGAAAGGTATAAACATTTTGCTCCCTTTCCAAGCCTTTGCTAAAAGTGCTTTTTTAAATCACCCAAGCAGATGGCATACATGCCTTTTTCACTGACAGTGAAACATATGGCGCCTTATAAAAGGTGCTTTAGGAAGAAACCACAATCACCTAAAGAGATTAAGATGCCACAAACTCCTTTCATTTTAGCTATCAGATTACATTTATTTATGAGACTATAAAATGAAGGCAAATCCAGGTATGTTCCAAGCTTGTTTTCCCTGCTCTGGAGAATAGGGCCCAAACCGATGGATTCAAGTTACAAGAAAGGAGATTCTGACTACACATCAGGAAGAACTTTCTGACAGTAAGGACTGTTCATCATTCAGGAGGTTGTGGACTCTCCTTTCTTGGAAGTTTTAAAGCAGAGGCTGGATGGCCATCTGTCATGGATGCTTTAGCTGAGATTCCTGCATTGCAGGGGGTTGGACTAGATAAAACATGTCCAACGCGGCGACTGCGATCAACCGGTCGATCGCAGGATGGATTTTGGTTGACCACACAACCAAGGCCACCCTCGCCCATGGCATAGCTGTCAACATTTCCCTTTTTTTTAAGGGAAATTCCCTTATTCCGAATAGGATTCTTTGCAAGAAAAAGGAAAAGTTGACAGCTATGGCCCATGGCCACTGGGGCCCCTCATCGCGTATTCGGCCGCGGCCAGAGCCCCTCCGCAGGCGGCATGGCTGGTCGAGGCTCCGCTTAGCCGGGCTGCAGCAAGTGCTCTGGCTGGCGCCGCCATAAGCCCCCCCCCCCCCGTAAAGGGGAAATTGGGCATTTCAGCGTGTGTTGGCTTCCCGTGTGCGCCAAGGGCCCTGGGAGGGGCTGATGTGGGGGTAATAATTTGTTATTATTTTTATCGTCATCATCATAATTTATTATTTATACCCCGCCCATCTGGCTGGGTTTCCCCAGCCAGATCTAATATGTTTAAGTTGAAGAATGACAACAGGAGAGTGTGGCTGATCCCTGCCAGTTTTTGATACTGGATAGTAGATCACAGCCTATTTGAAGTTGGACATGCCTGGACCAGATGATTCCTGATCCCTTCCAACTCCGGGGTTCTGTGATTCTATCATTCTAAAACAAAATTACCAGCCCCCTTGTCTTACTATACACTACAGGAAGAATGTAATTTTCTTCAGCAGCACTGAATACATAATCAGTTTTATTATTATAGCCTATTAGGATTACAGGAGATGTTCCTTGAAATCATTTCACAGGGTGGGGAGTGAAGGAATGTCACATAGAGACTGTTCCATTTTGCCTCATACAAATGACTTCACTTGCTGTAGATCTAAACACTCCATCATTTTGTGGGGCAGGGGGAGGAAATGTTTTCACAATGACAAGACCTGTTTATTCTCTGCCATCCTTTGGCAGAACATAAACATAACCAATGCTGTCAAAAATGGACCAAAGTACATGTAAATCACAGCTATATGTGCCAAGAAGCAAATTTGTTTTTGCAGACTGGGAGTGGGACCTAAATTTACTACTAGCCAGAAAAAAGTGTGTGTGTAGAGAGAGAGAGAAATGGGGGTGTCCAAATGCCAGCATAAGGGCTCAGTTTGGCTCCTGGGTGCTCCTTGTCTTTCCCACCCACCAACGGAGCCCTGGATTCAGAGAATCCTCCATATATTTTTTATAAACCTCAGTAGCATTTTCTGTGAGGCATGGATTATCATCAGACAACATGGCACCTTAGTACCGATTCTGTGGCCTCTGTGACCTCGAGGCACAAATTGCAACTGGTGACCATTAAATCATTCCGTTCCTTTCTCAAAGGGGAGGTGATTCAATGGGCAAAGGTTGGGAGGTGAGTCAAAGTCCCCCAAATAAGTGCTGCTATTGGCACCCGCCCTAGTGCTTTGGGCTCCTCCATTTCAGAGAAACTGGCATGGTGCTGGGAGGCCAGAAAGCATCTAAATCAGTGGCTCCCAAACTTTTTCAGGGCACTGCCCCCTTAGTTCCACAAACTCATCCTCAGTGCCCCCTACCCTATGCAAAGACATTATTCAGAAGAGCAGTTTGCACACAACACTCAGGCAAACGGCAACACAATAAAATTCAAATCAGTAACAATTAATTTCAAACACAAAATCTGTTAGATAGTGGGTAGACATAGCAGACAACACAGCAATTTCTCCAAAGCAGCTCTTTATTTGTAAGCTGGAACAGAA